ATATATATATATATATATATATATATATATATATATATATATATATATATATATATGCGTGTGTGTGTAAGAAAGATAGTACCATTTTTATATGTATTTATAAGTATGTGTTGAAATAAATATGTATTTCCTTCTTCGCTTCTCAAGGAGAAGCACTCTTTCCCTCCCTATCTTCGCAAACATACCTGCATTTTCGCTTTAAAGTATAAACGCATCTTTAATACACTCCGTTTAATCACATCAGCGCACAGCTCGTGCAAGGCAGAGCCCCTGGCAGAGAGAATCGCAGAGACCATGGCAGATATTTCGCACCTGCGCCTATCAACGCATGTGTCATGCAGTCAGATACCTGAGTAAGCCCCAGAAGCACTTACTGGGATTGCACAGTAAATTCAGAAGCATTATTTTGTCATCCAAGATACGCATGCTTATAAGCAGATACCCGCTGTATTAGTCTGTGACAGCTCCCTCTGCGGGAATGCAGCGATATTTGAACAGCTCGCAGAGAATGGATGTTGACAATATATGGCGGGGGCTACAATAAAGGGTGAGCTGTAGGTCGGAAACTTAGTGTCTAGTTTTAGGTATCGAAAGCCCCCAGGAACTATTCTTAAGGGTTATCATTTACAATGACATTTTTTTATCAATTACATGAATAAAAATCACATAATATGTTTCGCTTTTATTTTAAAAATGTGCGCAAGGGTTCAGAAGGAAGGACGCCTTTTGAATTTACAAGAATAGAACAAAACATAGAAGCCTGCTTAAAAACTTTATAAAGTAAACATGTTACAACACCTGTGCAGACGTTTTTGCATATGAATTCAAGAAATTTCTAAGTTATCGGACTGATGGTTGAAAGACAAAGAAAATAACATATTTTTGATGAAAGGAGATTCAGTTATCTCTTGTGCTCCTGTTATGTAGTTGTTATTGAACAGCACTTCCTTGCATTAGTAATGAAAGAAAGAAATTCATTGGATTTCTTGAGAAAATGTTTACTTTATTCAAAGCAATCAGATTATAATTAACAGTCACTAAGACTATCTCACATCTCTTTAGGTATACCTGTACTCTGAAAAAAATATCCGAAATTAATTCTCAAGAAGTAAATACTGTTCAGAAAATAATTGAACAATGCTCTCATTAAAAATATTTTGGATGAAACATTGTACATTTTCGGAAACTATTTCATACAAAACGTACTAATTATACTACTTCAATCAACGCACTAATCCATACTTCAGGTCTGCTTTTGTATTCATTAGCGTCGTGCATAACAACCCACTGAATAACATGCACGTGATGATTCACTACCATAAACAGAGCGTTAATGACACACTTTTATGCTATATTTCACATTCGTTAATGAGATATGAAAGTCCTTCACGTAATAATACAGCTCGAATGTAAAGGGTATTCAGAACATGTAATAGCCGTTTTATGGCACGAGCGAAAAATCAATAAACTGCAATTGTTCTGAAATTACGAGCCTCTACGCGAGTTAATTATAAAGCAAATCATAGAACAAATTCACATACTCTTTTATGCTGCGAGATTGTCATGGACGTAAATGAAACATGTTTATTTACTTTCTCAGCAAGTCCTTGGTTTTCTTAACTCGATGTTACGTAACGTTACGTAACATCGTATGTATGTAGTTTGCATTCAGTTTGTTTTAATTTATTAACACTGTTTAATATTGTTTTTGTTTGTAAGTTTGTAGTATCTCGTATATACCCTATCTTTGATACACTCCATCTTCTTGGTCAGTGAAAAATTGTCGAGAGTTCTAATTATTGTTTCAAAAGATCACAAATTTTACTAACTTAACCAAATCACTGTGTTAAATTGCGATTCAAAACTGAACAATATGAATGTCAATGTATTACTCTTGTTGTGTTCACGTCCAAGTTTTGCAGTTCTGTCTATCAAAAGCTTATATCAAGATAGAACTACAATAAAAAAGGAATATAAAATTAGAGTACTAGATTTTCGGTAAATAAATAAAAGTGTAAAATTATCAACTACTATGCTATTACTATAACTTTATAGTGCCTTAGATTTACTAATACAGAATATTTTTGACAAAAATTTTTTCAATAGAGCCCCTTAGCGAATTTAAAGAGAATAAATCACTAGTACTTCACATGGATTAACAAGCAAACTCTTCTTTCTTGTCAATAATAAAGAAAATTGTTAAACCAGATATTGTGAGAAGTATGTGTGCAACTACATTGATTAGAATTAATCATTAATACATTTTACAAATAAAGTTTGTTTGTTTCAGTGGTAGAAAAATAGGATTAAATGGATGGTAATAAAGTTTCTCTTTTGAAATAGAGGGTAAAAAAACTGACGAGGTTAGGGTGAATTTATATTTCATTTTCGGCTCGTAAATTATTTCCATTGGGTAACGTTTTTGTCAAATAGTCCTAGGCTAGGAGTCTAGTATCTACGCAAAATGGTGGGAAATTGCGATAAAGAAAGGCGCGGTGAAGAGCGAATTGCCCGCGATAACTCCGATAGCCTCAAATGTAGCGCGAACCGCCGAATGCGGCTGATTTATGGGTTATTTTGGCGCCACGCTCACTCCTCCCTTCGCGGGCCGCTCGTGATAACCCTTCACCCTCAGCCGTGATAACTCCAAGCCACTCAAACGACATTCCATGGCCACGCGGGGGGCCCTGCGAGGAGATTGTGAGCGCCGATTGTTGATGCCTCCAACTTTGACCGGCAGTTGTTGCAAGATCCAGTGCTGACGTTCTATTTGTTTTAAAAGCAGGTACTCTCTATTGATTTCCAATAACTTCTTATTTTTTGTTTCAATAGAATTGATGCTTCATTACATGATGTAACAAGCCTCTTCAGAAGTGTTTTAATGCAACATGCTGTTACGGATTTATGGATACAGTGCCTGCCTGAGAGGTACAAAAGTGATCCCATTGCTAGTTGATTCTGAAAATATTCTTTACTTCCCTTCTTCCTGACGCGTGTAGCCGTATGGTCTTCAAGACGAAGCCAGGATTACATGAAATGAATCCCATTGCAACCAGTAAGAGGATCGTCCAAATCATAAATATTTTATTCAGAGCTACAATAATTTTGACAACTTAGTTGTGATAATTTTCAACTGGTTCTGTGCATCATAAATATATTAACAGTCAGTTCTAAAAACTACAATAATTTTAAAAACCGGGTTAGCACAAACAGATAGAATGATGGCACTATCAATATCTGCACCATTTTACATACTAACATTGCACTGGAAGGGAATAATTACTAATTCACAAGCACTAATTCTCTCATATTTGTTTCTCAGATCTGAAGTATTTAAAAACAGACGTAGATACGCAATACTTGGCAAGAAATGAAAAAATGTAGTGCACAGCCAGACAAAATATACGAGCGAACGCTATCATTCACAATTACAGACACATATAGCATTCGCAATTAGAAAGGACGCCTACTTTCAATACAATAAGAAAATATTTTCAAGAATGTGTTCAAAAAAATCACATATAATATATTGAAAATAGGTGGAGAGAGCATTTCACTGAAATTAGGACGAACTAATCAAATCGGGACTTTTCAAAATAAAAATAAGATCTGCCCATCTAATCCCTATTTAGAGTATACACATTCACTAAACGAATCACGAAATGAAAGTCGGGAGGATTAGGTGTTAATAATGTTTGTGATTGTTATTTGGGGATGTTATTGATTCAGAATTATAATTTCTGGGTTATGTACTAAAAATATTGTTCTTATTACTCGTAAATTGGTTATCGAAAGCTTTTATTTATCTAATATTTTCATTTAATTTAGGTATACTTTCTTATGTAATAAATACTTCGTGTATATAATGAACCATATTTGACATAAATAATTTTAATCTTTAACATTTTATTTGTATTTAATGTGGATCACTCCAAGCATACACCTCTAATAAATTATGTTTCTTGAGCAATATGTGAGCCGTGGATCATATTTTCTTAGCGTAACGGTGAGACGCTTTGTCAAGGAAGCGCTGCCCCTTCTGAAGACAAAACTTATTTTTATGAGTCTGCGAAGTAAATTCTTCTTTTTATGACGTCGTTAGATTTATAACGACGAGATAAAATGGAATAGAGCATATATATACGAGGATGAACATGAGTCTGCAGAAAGTACACTCAAAGACGAAATTCGCGATCATCAAGACTCCATCGTCATTGATAGAATTGTGTCGAGTAAGTAATTCTTCTGATTTATTGATCAGGGATGTCCGTCTCCAAGAATCATATTTAATATAGGGTTCATCATGCAGCTATGGCGGTTAATGAAGAATGTTATCCTTCCTTATGGTCAGTGCAATATTATTGAGCCTTGTTATTACAGAATACTTGATGGGGAATGTGAAAATAAAGAAAATAACTTATCAAGGCTGTATCAGCAAATTATACAACTAGCCAAGGTGAAATCATCACAAACTCTACAGCACCGTGTTACGTGGGACAAGTTGCAAGTTGCAACAGGGGTTGGTTGGCACATGGGATTGGTTAGCATTCGGGTTCCTACATTAGCCATGTAGCTGTCATAAGCTCTAGCTTCAGGCCACGTGATCTTTACAACCTAATGAACTCTCCACGAAATCTTGGTATGATCAGTGCAACGATGATGAAATCATAATTTCAAATATGTTTTAGAGCTTATAAGGGCTATCTTATAGTTCATTAATTGTATTCTGTAATGTATGGAAGAGATGATTTTACTTCTCTCTCGTTTTGAAATGAACTCTACATTTAAACTCTAGACTTTCATGTATCAGTTTTCGAGTTTCTTTGTCAATTCTACGGTCATATATAATCAAAAATCTCGTTCGGGGCTGCTTGGAACTTTTCAATTGGAATTGGTTGGCACAGTGCCAACCAGCTCTATTCTCTGCCAACCATCTCCACAATATTATACTATTTTCCTGATATTTTAATCACTCTTAGAGTAAAAGTACCAGTAAGGTCTCAGTTTAAACATTTTTGCAATTTTCTCAATATTCGTCAGGTACAGTTCGTACTCAATTTGTTTGTAAATACAACTCAATGGGCACTTAATATTTCTATTTCTCAATACATCCTTTCCTAAAATGGCTCATTTTAAATTTGTTACACTTTTTATTAATTTATTCTCAAATTTGGTGCCATCAGTTGTCAATTAAAAATTTCAAAATACTGGTAGCGTTCAGGTAAACGATGACAATTCATATTCTCTCTCTTGACGTATCTCAAAACAAAAGAGACCAAAAAGTACCCTACATCTTACCTTACTGCAATCCCATGGGTTAAGCTTATTCGTTAATTATAAAATAGGAGTAAATAAATAAATTATTTTCATTCTAATTCTCACCACTCGAAAGAACAAGCTCCACGTTCTGCAAGTTTGAAGCCAGTGGGGAGCGATCAATTCTTATTTTTCAAATTTTGTGTTTTTTATACTACTACCTAGCGTTTTGATAAAACAAAAGTTCGTGCCACTTTCGACTTATTTCAAAACCAGAAGTAAGTGTTTGCAAAAATATCGACTTTGCCATAGTATTTGTAAGAGCGTAGGATTCCGCCGCCGGAGTCACTGTTTAATTGACTGTCCGGGTGACGCCGCGTCCATGGCAAAGGTGCCGACGTTTCGGTTTCCATTCTGCGACCTTTCTCCCTATTACCTTCTGAGCAATACGCCCTGAGGAAGGTTGCAGAATGGCGACCGAAACGTCGTCACCTTTGCCATGGACGCGGCGTCACTCGAACACCCAATTAAATAATGGTATTTGTAGTTACATGCTGAGTTGTACGCCCCTGTTTGGGCCCACTGCAAGGTCGCGCAGTTGACTACACCTCGGTTTAAACACTGAGTTCGTTGCCGTAAATCAGCTATTTCGGAATCATCCAATCGGGAGCTTGGATGGCACCTACGGTAGTAAGTACTACTACCGTAGTACTACCGTACCGTACTACGGTAGTAGTACGACTACGGTAGTAACGTTTAAGCTCCCGATTGGATGACACCGTAACAGCTGATCGAACGTCAAAGGACTCTATAAGTAAA